TCCCGTCGTTAAAAGTTATCTCCCAAATCACATCAACTATACTTTCCACTTTTCAAGTACATTATGGTCTCGAGTAAATTAGAGATGTAAAAGATTAATGTCCATATGACCAAAATACAGACGAATTATAAACAAATAAAACTACGATAAAATTATGATAACCACTATGGAACTGAAACCACGCATCACTATCTATCTGACTTTCACCAATTAGCATCAAAATGAATGCTTCCCACATATTTTTATGTCGTATTTATTCGCTGCTTTAAGGGTTAGTGCATTATCAATATTTCGTCCTTCGTTGCTTAACGGAGGCACAAGGCATATTTCTGCTCCCGTGTCTACTAAACATTTTGAGCCCGTTATTCTGTCCTGGATATAAAATAAACGATTGTTCCTGGGAGCTACGCTAGTTGTCGCAGCCGTTACCGTCGACCGGTGGGAGCGCTTACATTGGCATGGAGATCTACATTTTCGAGCTATGTAGTCGAACGCTTGATGGTACCAGCATATTGTAGGATCTGGGAGTCTCCTAGAGAATGATCGGCTTCTATCTCTCGACCAATTTCTGTTTCTGTCGTTCTGATTTAGGCTTGTCAACTTGTGGCAAAGAAAATTAATGTCCTTTTGTGACGCATCGATTCTTTCGTCTACTGTGGAATTATGCCTTTGTGCACTCGTGCGTCTCGTTCTCTCATAAATCCTACCGGCTATTTCAGCTATGTTATCTATGTTTGCATCACTATCTCCAACAGCAAGGAACAGCTGCACGCTCGGTGGAAGTCATCGTAACCACAACTGGTAAAATATGCTTTTATCCACTATTCTGTCCCTAATTATGTTGCTCATATAAATTTTTAACTGCGAAGGCGTCCTATCTCCGATTTTCTCTTGACTGAGCAACTGCTCGATGGCTTGCCGGTCGGTTGATGAGACAGTATATATCACTGCCCGTTTTAATACGTCATACGGATTTTCTTTGTAGAATTTATAACACAGAACGGACTTACTGAATTGTATCAATATATCAACTGTTTGTGAATAATCGTTGTATATTATGAATATTATTGTTAAGTTCAATAATGTTTGCGAGATAATGTACGTGTGAATTAAATATTGGTATAATAAATCCCTAATTATGATTATAATCCAGATAATAATCCGAATAGAAACAGAAGGCGTTGAATTTTCGAAATGAGATTATATCGTCGAACTGGTACTGGGTTCCAGTGTCAGAGTAATCACCAACATTGAGGTGCATGTATATTCAGTTAACATGTTCTAAATTTGACGATGTATCACGCATCTGTGATTGCATCGCTATCCATTTCTCTTCCTTAGTTTTAAATGACTATATCGCCTGATTGTATATTAAAATGTGAAGTAACTTTTAATGAAATAAACTTTTTTGAAGACTCTGAACTGATACATTTGTAAAATACTCAACAATTACACTATCACATTCTTCAGTTACTCGTTGAACATTGTTCACTTTCGAAAATTAGAGTCATATTGACAGCAATTTTCAGGGATTCTGGATGATCAACACTGTATCTGTTATGAGAACTCCTTCAGTTTCTTATTTCGACCTATTCTTGAATAGTGCCAACAACTTGTTATACTTGAAAAAAATCGAAATTTTAAGTGTCTCTTTCTGTTCAATATATCACATCAGATGAGAGAAACCGTTACATAGATGTTCCTGTGAAATGGATCAAAAGTGGCACGTTAGTAGAGTATGAAGCTTACTGGAGTATGTTAAACGTTATCTAATCATCACTAACTATTTTCACACTTCAATACATCACTTTTGTTTTATCAAATTTAAAATTCCCTGTGTAACTGTAGTCAGCTATTAAATCATATCTAGGCATTCGAGTCAAATGACGTTTCACTTACCATTAAAATCTACATGTCAATTCATTGTTGAAAAGTAAAAATGATTAGGGATCCATTTTGAACAAATATTGAAGTGTTCACTTTAACGAAGTCTACTTAAACACATAGTCACAAACGATAGATGAGATCATATTAGTGTCAAAAATGATTTAGTGTCAGATAGATGATTGTACATTGAGTTGGAAGCGTTTACTTTTTCTTTTTGTGCATGTCATATCGAATTTTCAAGAGGCATCGAAACCGCGAAAACACTCCATGTAATTGCGACTACCTTGAAAACGAATGCCAGATTTCCGAAATCTCTACTTTGTCATACATATCCGAATAATAGTGGGTATAGATAAGTCACGTCCCAAATTCAATTTACCATAGCCAGTTTCACGAATAATATCACAGTATGAATGTGTGTTCGTTCTCATGAGTATGCACAGTGAGTAATTACAAGCAGTCTTTAGTCCATTGTGTGTTAGACCATTGAAATAACACTTCGATTATTTGGGGAATCATTCCATAATATAATTGTCAGATCGCCTTCAACATTCGTTGAATAAAATTCCACTTTTATCGTCTATGAATTTTCGTTGATTCAACTAATCGAATGCGTTAACTGACAGCACAAACACCAGAATGTGGCCACACAAGTCGATATCTTCCATCATAATATATCGACTGGAATCTTCTCAAGAAAATATCATTGGTCATTGGCAAGACAATGTCACTCTCCTTTCGTTTTTCGACTGAATTAACACTACTGAAAATGAATTTTCAGTCTAATAACAACTGACTTTCTTGCACTGATTTCAACCATAAACCTGATATCATGAAAAACATCTGTATAACCATCGAAAATTCAATGCACTACGGTTTGCTGAATCCAATGGAATCATCGAGTGTACATGTCTGAATGTAAACAGTTATTCGCCTGTCGTAATCCACTCTTCATATTTGACATTCAACGTAGTTTCATTCAATTCAATCATGTCGTCGTGAAATATGATTTAAATTGAAAGTATACTGAATCTTGCATTATGCAACGTGATGACAATTTTCCAGTGAAGAACGTCGTCACTTAATTCCAAAATCACCATTTTATCATTGGATGTGACATCCAGAACATAAATTTCGTCACACAAATGATCCATTAATTAGTTGTAGGATGGAGCGTACTTATCACATTGATTGTCAAATCGATAGTAGATATTTTAAATGATTGTACAAAATACAAATTATGTTACTAGTTGTGGAATTCTCTTCCATCGTCCTTACTGACAATATTTGACATTTATTAATGAATGTCATTGTTTTGTTTATTCAGAAGAGCACTGGTGTTAATAATTTGAGTACATACACACCCGTCAAACATAATGAAACGACATCGAGAATCACTGATGTTCAGGCTAAAGAAATCCTCAAGGAAATTATCGCAGTAAACCATCAATACTCAGTAAGTATATGACACTTAATAATGAATGCTACTGTTTTGTCTTTCTTCAGAATATGTCTACCAAAATAACAGAACAAATCACTTCGATACTTATACATCTTGATTCCTTTGGTCGTCTCTCTATTTGTAATATGTATCGGTTATATAATTTGGAGATGGCTCCATAAAAGAAATAGAAGTAATGAACGATTCTCATAATTGTCTTATAACTCGATTTGAATATTCTGACGAAGTTTTTTGTATCTCGTCTTTTATTGGAAAACTGTAGATTTAATTAATCATTTCAATAAGTTGCATAATTTCTTCATGGAACCATGTACGTTTTTATGCTTGTTTATGTAATAACTGATATAATCTTTTTAATAAAATTGAAAACATGGTCTTCATTCAATATGAACTGGTTTGTTTTTACAAGAGGTTTACAACAATTTATTTGTCAATCAGAAGTATTGTATATACGTGGTTTTGTGGTAATTGCAATCAATAATCTATCTAAGGAAACATGAGACGATTGTATGATACAACAAAGAAACCAGAACGACCAGTGAAAAGCAAGAAAGGCAAAGTAATCACCAACATTGCAGAACAGCGAAACAATTGGGTAGAGCACTTCAAGGAACTCTTAAATGGTACAGCCCCATTGAACCCACACAACATCAAAACATCACTCACGGACCTCCCAGTCGATGTTGACCCGCATAATTGGGCACCTACATTCATTTTTTTTACCTTATTATTTACTGTTCATTGAACGCTAAGTGACAAACTATTGTTAGCTAAGTATCAACAATACTAATTACGATTCCGTCCGTCACTTTATTATTGACATGATCAGTTTACGGTCAGTTATTTCACTTAAAGCTTAGTCTTTAGAAGGACCTAAACTGGAGTCGTCTTCGTCAGGTTCCGATGGTTTGATTGAAGTGAACACTTTCTTGAACGCAATAAACCTATCAATATGTCTTGATATGGATCCTCATAGTCTATAAATGTCTCCCAAAAACCATTTGCAACATAATCTTTACGAACAAGCTCGAACTGTATTGAATGAATAGGAGTACATTTTGGAGGAAATAAGGTAGAAACAAACAACTCAAGGCATTCATTAGAATCAGTTAACGGAATACACTCATTGAGACATAAAACTAAGAAATATTAGTTCAGTGAACAATGCTCTGTCCGTCCAGTTGATTTTCGAAACTATAAAACTACAGATTCGTTGAAGATTTGCTATGCCGATTTTTTCACTTATAGACAAGCGGTATTTGCTTAAATAAAACCACTTTTATCAACCAGTAATTCTCTGTAAGCCTAGTCTTTTTAACCAGCGTGTAATAAGCGGAAGGAAAGGAGAATTGTGGTATTTGAAATAAAGCTAGGTATTATGGCTTTCTAGTTACACAATCCTCGTGCATTATGGGTATAATTCAGAGAGTAGTCCTGAGGTTATGTACAGAGTACTGAAGAAAGATAACAAAGCCGTTGATATAATTATTAATCTTCATCAAGTGATGTGGTCGAGATATATGTTATGTATGTATAACCACCGCCCACCTCAATATGCGGTGTTAGCAGGTAATCATCAGAATAGGAACAATAATAATATTAATAATAGCAATTAACTAATGAACGAGGTTAAGAAAAAGAGAAGTGATATTTATTTCTTAGCAAATGTGATTTGCATAGCATGAGTCGGTGTCAGTTTAAATCCTTCATAAGCAGATCGCGCAGCAGCAGCTTGTGATTCAGTATCATATTCGACAAAGCCAACTCCACCAGCAGCACGTCTAGCCTCTTTGAATCCCGAAAATTGACTAAATAACATTGTAAGCATAGCATCAGTAGTTTCTTCTGGTAAATTACTAACGAATAAAATATGATTTGGTTGATCTAACAATGCATTGATATCTCCACCGGTACCCGCCTAAAAGAGATTTGATAAAAGTAATCAAGTGTGTTTTAAAATATTTATTGGGGAAAAAATTAAAACGTTTTTTTAGAATATGGGAATTAGTACTATCGTCCAAGTCATTAACATATCATACAAGTAATCAAGTAAGGAAGAACGGGGTGTTCTCTTTCTCCCTTAAAATGCTATCATATGGTCACGTGTTTATGAGTTCTGCCACGAAAGTCCTACTAACTGCCTTCTTGTGGTGCGGGTATTTTCTACAAAGTTGGAGAGGCTGGAGAGTGAACATCTGGTGCTTGAATCAACCAAGTTGGTGAATACGGAAGGTTTAACCAAGGAAGTTGATAAATGATTATTTACAAGTGCTCCAGGAATATGATGTATGAACTTATTTTGGTTACCGGCTACCACGAAAATGTATCACATGTTGTGCCACTGCTTTGTGGAATAAAATTCAAGGTTAAAAGCTGCAGGAATGGGACCCTAAGAAAACCACTTGATTCGAACTGATTGTCAGGACAGTATCCCAGTCCACACATAAATATTTTGTGGCGCAAACTATTTGTGGTGCCCAGTTGTACCACATTTTATACTAACCCAATAGATAAAGCATAAAAGTCAAGTTTACTAAAGGCGTTTGTTTCCTTAAAATTTCAAGATATTTGCACAATAACTGATCATTAACAGATCATTATCAAATTGACTAACAAAATAGCCGTTAAAACTCTTTATAAAATCCATTTTTTCAATAAAGACGAATAGATAACTTTGTATACCTGATTGTTTTACTTTAAAGCGTTTAAACAAATTCATAAAACTCTTACTATATAGATGCCTTTATCTAACAAACATATTTCATAACATGGATGCTGCTTCAGGACTGCTCTGCCTCAGTACTTGAACTAATGACAGTGAGTGAGCACGTTGATAACTTCACTCACCGTGGAAGTCATATCAGATCTGGTGCTTTGATGTCTGACGAAATCTCGGGATGCAATCAGAAAACTCAGGTGGTTTTTGACAGCTACCGGCTGTCACAATGTTGCTGGTGAATTTGTTCTTGATCCCTGTTTAGAACCTCAGTCCAAAAATCTTCTTATACCTTCCGGTTACCGTTTTATATACCTAATTTCTTTTATTACTACTACTGTAGTAAACGAAAACTTAGATGGAGAAGATCAATTTATTGATCAATGCAAAATTACTGAATGTTTTCGTAAAATATCAAAACCACACATCAAATACGTATTTTGCACATCTTTCATCAGTTGTTCTTTACATCCTTCATGATTCTTTCAGCTACGTTGTTATTACGATTACTTTCTGTTTTTTTTATTGAATCTTCTCAATCTTCTGCAGGTATACATTTCACTTCCGATGGGTGCTGCATACTACTTATATCTGTCAACATAAGTAGCACCACCATACTACTACTGATACCGTTACTACTGCTACTGCTCTGGGATGTCTTTAAATAATTTCATCTCGCTGTCCTGTGGTGTGGCAACTTTAACCCAAGCACATGCGTCAGGTTCTAATTTGCGTATGACTGATTGACTGACGTGAACTGACTGTAACGAACTAAAGATCTCATGCTAGCATTTCAAGTTGTCATTGCTGAATTGTCTTAGTCACATGCTTTTAATGGCCCTTATCGATTGGTTTCATTATTAAATGTAAGTGCATCGAATATGCTTACTGAGTTATTGGTTCATTTTTTCTCTTATTCTTCTCTTTCCCAGCTTTCTTAAAGCACTCTGCTCTTCACGCTCCCCTAGAACACAAAATACCTTCAGGCTTGACATGAATCACTACACTGAACCAATAATCCACTCAATGATCTATCCCCCAAGTCAATCAGCACACAGAATGATTGAACTGTAAAATTAATTCAATCAATACCACTACTAGTCAGTATATCATTCTACACTACATATAAGTCACGCTTTTTACAATCTCTGTATTTTATCCCTATAATTTGTTAAAACAATTTGTCTAAATTATACTTATTTCCCAAAACGTATTTCATATTTGACATTTAACATCAAGTTATCTCTGAAATTGTTACACAATCGCACCATTGCAAGTAATATATTTGAAATTGATTAGGAATTATGATAGATGAAGTCGGATGCATTTACAGTACAACTTAACTATTATGATTCTGAATACAATCAAGACGAAAAAAACCATAACTGTGTCTTTCACTGTTATACACAATATGATGGAAAAAAATCGTAGCTCAGGTAAACATTTTTGGTGATGATAAGTACACTGGGCGAAATGATTTTATTTATGGAGCTTTCACTATCTTTCAGGATAACAAAACATTAGAACGTATTTCATTTATAATAAAGTGAACTCTTTAGTTATTCCATTTGAAAGAAAATGTCAGTTAACAAACAATCTGACCAGTAATCAATCAAACAAAACAGTCAACTTAAATAGAAAGGAAATAGTAACACAAAAAATCATTGATTTAGCACTAATAGATGCACTCTAAATAGTTTGCTTCTATACATGGAGTAGAATGTCGATGATGTAGTAGTGCCCAAAATAAAAATGAAGGCTTTGCATTTAATTAAACTAAGTACTAGTTTAGAGGATTTTACAACTATACAATATATATATATATATATATATATATATATATATATATATATATATATATATATATATATATATATATAATATTGGATTAGTCAAATCGTTTTTATGATCAAATACAGAAAACCATAATAATGATTAAAACATACTGGACCATTTACTGATTGATTAGCTGCTTGTAAAGCCGCTGCTGCAGCTGCAGCACGTTGTGCCATTTTTTTTCGTCTACGTTTTTCACGTTCTTCTTCACGTCTCTTTTGAACTTCAGCACTGACACCTTTCAAACAGATAATCTGTTGCGAATCCTTTTTAGCATAAGTTACTCGCATAGGCTGAGAAAAAAATGAAAAACAATATATATATATATATATATATATATATGAATAGAATAAAACATCATACGAAGTGAAAATTTTTAAGCAGAAATGAACTGTTATTAATAGTAGATTTGAGTAGTGGATTGAACATCAACACTGGGATGTAAGTACATCCAGCTGATCAGTCGCAAATAGAATGAGACGTTTGTCATGAACTCTACTACTTCTACGACTACCTACTATCTATCTATGCTTAAAAAAGCTTATGAATGATAGCAATATCAAGACAATTCAATAAGGATACACATAGTGCAAAAGAGACTGATCAATTCCAGTTCATCACAGCAACAATCGGAAGACGTAAATCAATACAATTGAATTATCAAGTAACAATTGAGTCAGTCAGTCAGTTACAACGTAGAATTTCGAACGTACGTACATCAGTTCGAGTTGCCATACCACATTAGCACAGAGATGCAGTTGTCGATTCAAATCCCATAGTGGTAGAAGTAGTAGGAGTATAATCAGAAATCCAAAAGATTAGGGTTTGAAGAAATTATTGAAGGAGTATAGTACAGTGAAATAAATTTGGAAAGAGAAAAAGATAGAGACTTGAGGAATTCAGAAGATTAGAAGTTGGTAGAACACAATGAGTGGATACACCTTCGACATTGCAAACGATTTTGAGCCATGTCATTCAAGGTCTCTAACCATCGGTAGCTATCATCTCGCGAATACCAACCAGGTAGTCTACACCTACCAACATGGCTCAGTCCAATTGTCAGTGACTTCATTGTTTTGTGCCACGTTTGGTCTGGCCGCCCCTAGCTTTCTTCCAACCTATTCCTACACCATGAAACATTGCACGTTGGGGCAGTCGGTGGTTGGGCATACGTAACACATGTTCCATCCACCTCAACCGATGAAGTTTCACTACTTCATCAATCGATTTGCCATCCTTACCTAGTACCCGTTTCCTAACAACTGCATTACTTACCCGGTGGTCCCAGGATATACGAGCAATGCTTCGAAGAAACCTGTGATCAAAAACTAGTAGCCTACGAATATCCTCTACTCTTATCGGCCATGTTTCACTACCATAAAGTAGGACGGAGCGAAGTGCTGCACAGTAAACACGTCCTTTGGTTGCTAGACGGATATCTCGCCTACGCCATAAATGACGCAAGTTGGCGAAAGCTAGACATGCCTTCTGTATCCGTGCTGAGATTTCCTCACACACTAGACCACAAGGGCTGATGAGACTCCCAAGATAAGTGAAGCTGTCAACACGCTCAACTACTGCACTCCCTATCATTAGTACAGGTGTCGATGCAACCCAATCCTGAAGTAACATTTTGCACTTCGAGGGAGAGAATCGCATCCCGAACATGCCTGCATAGTTGCTTATAGTGGTCAGAAGACTCTGCATGCTGCCAGCATCCTCACCAAGTAAGACTATGTCGTCGGCGTATTCTAAGTCAACAAGTGAATCTCCTGGTAAAAGTTCAACTCCAGGAGATTGAGATGATGAAAGTGATACCTCTAAAAGCATGTCAACGACAAAGTTAAACAAGAATGGAAAGAGTGGACAGTCCTGACGAACACCACTTCAGGTAACTAATTCTGATGACAGTTCGCCATAGGCTCTAACTCTACCAGTTGTGTTCGAGTAGAGAGCCTTTATGAGGTTAATGTACTTTTTTGGTACTCCTTTCACTGACAAACACTGCCACAGAACCTCACGATCAACGGAGTCAAATGCCGCCTTAAGGTGAAGAAATACTACTATTGTGGGACGTCTGAATGTATGTCTATGTTCTAGGACCTGACGTAGGGTGAATATCTGGTCTATGCAACCACGTCCTGGTCGAAAACCAACCTGGTTTTCTGCTCTTCACGAGCTTTGGTTAGGCGACCTAGTATTATTGAAGCTAATATTTTAGACACTATATTAGTCAAACTGATCCCTCTGTGATTGTCACAGGAGGACTTTTGTCCTTTCTTATAGACTGGCACAATCAGTGATTGGGACCAGTCAGATGGAATTACGTCCAGTTCCCAGATTCTACCTAAGACCTCAGTCAATCTTACTGCTAGTACTGGACCACCATCCTTAAAAATCTCAGGGGTCAACCTGTCAGGGCCTGCGGCTCACCCTCGCTTTAGATTTCCTATAGCTTTTTCAACCTCGTAGACGGTTGGAGGACTTACACCAATTTGCCATTCAGGACGACTGGGGATCGTGGGTAATTGAAGTGTGGCTGAAGGCCAGTTGAACTGATCCCTTAAGTGTTCTGCCCATCGAACCAATCTCCTGGATTGAGAATGAATGATATGCCCATCTTTATCTGAGATGGTTTCACTGATACTTGGGTTCCTAATACCGGTTTCTTTAACGAGTCTGAATGGCTGCCTACTGTTACCTATTGCCGCTGCCTTTTCCATCTCTCTTGCTTTCGCTACCCACCACTGTTCACGATCATTACGTAGGCTTCTTATTAGCCTGCGCTTAAGTTGACTCCGCTCTTCGTTATGTTCAGAGCCAGGTGGGATGAGTTTTCGAGCATCTATCAGTGCGGTAGATGCTGCCGAGATCCATTGTTTCTCCCTAACCTTATGGTTTACCTTACTAGCGGATATCACTGCTGATTCCACAGCTTTACGGATGTCATTCCACGCTGCCTCGAGGTGGGCATAACTTACATGGCTGCCTAACTGTTTTTCTAGTTGTTTCTGAAATATATTCTTAGCTGGCCTATCATTAAGTAGAACCCTTAGAGGTTTCCCTGCAGTGTCTTTCCTACGTCCAGTAAGACGCAGACAGATACGTGCTCGCACTAGAGCATGATCTGAGTCTAAACATGTGCTCCAGAATGAGCGACAGTCTACTATCGAGCCCCTCCATCGTTGGTTGATAGCAATGTGATCTAATTGGATCCAATATTGGGACGAATTCGGGGGGTCGCCATGTCAAAAGATGTTTTTCCTTATGCTTAAAGTTAGTATTTGCAAGAAATAGGCGGTTATCTGAGCACAGCTGCAACAGACGGTCGCCATTATCTGTCCTTTTAGCCACGACACCATAAGATCCACCCAGGTGTCTTTCCCTTTCATTTAGTTGACCTACTTGAGCATTAAAGTCACCTGCTACTATTACTACATCAGAAAGCCGAGCTTTTCGGAGAAGGTCAGAAAGTTTCCTGTAAAACTCATCTTTTATATCGTCTGAGCTGCAGTCAGTGGGAGAGTAGGCAGAGACGACGAAGAGGCAACGACGAGTTTCCCTATCTTTCCGAGTCCTTACTGATCCGTTTAGTCGGACTGCGCATAGACGACTGTCTACTGGGATCCAGTCTAAAAGAGCTAGTTCTGCCCTAGGACTTAATGCTATACCTACCCCAACGAGGCCACGGGAAGCAGCATCAGGGCTTCCAGATACACGAAGCGTGTATCGAGATGAAACTTTATTTTGATTAGGTGAGGTCAAATGAATGACACTACTCGGATCTTGTATGCGCGTTTCGGAGACGCAGCACACATCGATGGTGTAAGATTCTAGAGTCCTAGCTAAGGAAGCCTTACTGCTGTCACACCTCTGTACAGTCAGCAGTACGACTTCGCCTTCGGACCTTGGGATTGCTGCTTTTAGTATTACCGCTCTTCAACCGACCTGTCTGGCATGGTTGGACCTCGAGAAACGATTGTTCCAGCCAGCATAGCTCAATTGCTTCATTACGATAGGCAAGCCCAACCACCACGTCAAAGTAGCAGCAACGGTCGGGAGTATTCCAAAAGAAAAAGAAGGTAAGGGCTCAAAGTGTGATACGTTAAAATACAACAACAAATATGGTGGTCATAATAATATAAATTGGTTTCTCTACGTCTTTTACTAATTCTAAGTCATGCATAATACAAGACCATATATTATCTTGGTGTGGGTAAAAATGAAAGCATACTTTACAAACGTATCAATCAGGTTTAAGATGGTAGCTATTGGATTTTCCCGAGAAATTTAAAACACGATAACAGATAGTTTATATTCTTATTTAGAAATTAATGTAACCTAAGAATATTTATTCATTAAAATATTTAAAATTGATAAATATTGAACGATTGAAGTAACTTAAAGAATCCTGATACTTAGAATCAAGGAACTAACTGCATATTTACTCATCCATTCAATTCCTTCCTAACCACTCCTCTTAAATCTTAACTATCAGGCCAGATAAAAATACATAACTCAGTAATATATATACATATACATATAGATCCTGATACGGCTGAGAGTGGGGAGGGTCAGCTCTCCCTCTCGAAATGCTCTCATATAGCTATAACTATCGACGGAATAATAATATGCACAAATTATTGATATATATAGATATACATCGCCCCTTAGTGATATAATCCAAGACCTTGGTAAAGGACATAATCAAATATATTCAATATCATGACTTGTTTGTCGTCTATCACTTAGCACTTGGCTTTAATACATCTTGTGCGCACAGGGGGAGTCATATATCTGGACTCGGCTAACCTGTTATTATTATTATCAGTTCGTAAGATAGTCTTCGAAAAAAAATAGACGGAAGATACCAACTGGCCTTTTCAAATGCATATGAAGCCTCACCATATCTAACACGACTGAAACTTAACAACCCCATGTACAAAACTTTATATTATTCGTATTGCTCTACGACTTTTGAGTCATGCTTTTTGATTATATTACTTATAAGTAACTGTTAATTTATTGCAAAGTTTTCTCGTCCATGTTTTTTCGATCGTCTACAATATCTACTTAATTGATCGGTGTAACTATGATTCATTCAGCCATATTGAAAAGGCTATTTTATCTCAATGTATGTGTTTGACGAAGCATGCATTCAATAATTTGTGTGAAAACTTGTAACCTAGATAATGTTACTTATTGTACAACTACGTGGAAATAATTTATTATTGAGATGGATTTAGTAATAGGGAAATTCTTCAAAATACAGAGGGTGAGTTTTAAATTTTCAAAATGATCGCTTAGTATACAAGGGATTAGATTATCAGTCAATGGTTATAAATTTGAACATCGCGTAGATATGTAGTGGTAGCAGTAGTAGTCTCATTAGCTCTAGAACAAAATGTGTGGCACTAAGTCTAATACATGAACCCCAAGTTGATTACTAGTGATGTAAGACTTAATTTTACTTAAAGTATTAAGTAGTGTAGGTAAGGAATCGTAATTTTCCGTTGTCGATATTCTAGACTGTCAAATGACACATATACTGAAACCTGTGATAAAGCTATATCGTGGCAACCCACTTAGGATGCACACGTATCAAAGAACGATTAATCGCAGCCCTGAGCATCAAAAGCAGGGAATCACATACATTTACTGATATCCTCCTACCTGATGAATACTTTAGTGGATCACTGGACTTGGTAGCTCAATGGATAAAATGATAAGCAATCGAACAGAAAAGTACAGAGTTTGAGTCAGTGCGAACATCAAAAGTAGAATCCAGGTACACCCAGCTGACGATCTCCAGATAGGACAAAATCCGTGTCCTAAACTCCACTGATTGTTACATATTAAATATTATCAATTTATAGTTTCAATTCTTTCACAACGCTGGATAAGTATACAAATATAATATTTATCTATAACAATCTAACCAATGCTCAATTTCTTCAAAATTATCAAATCAAAACTTGGTAATGATATCTACAAATATATACACGCATTAGGACTAACCAAAATAAACTTACTCGTTGAAATAATTGAAATCCTTGTAATGAACGATAAGCTTGCGTTGCACAAGCAATATCCTGATAAATAATAAATGCCTGTCCACGCATTTTCATTGTTTTCATAGCTATAATATCAATTAGTCGACCATGTTGACCAAATATATAATATAGTGCTTTTCTCAAATCGTTTTTCTTTACTTTGTCATTTAAATTATTCACATATAACGTATGATTTGGTCGGATATCCATTTATATAACTAATATTTATCAAATCCGAGCACGCAAGCATGCACACACCGTATATGTATGAAAATAAAGAAGGGATATGATGAATGAATTGAAATAGTGTTACATGTGGGAGAAAGTAGGACTTGATATTATATATATAATCAGTGTGAGGGAGTTTTGATTTTTGAGTTTGAAGTTTTACATCATGAACTGTCTGAGGATTTTCATGAGAGGATGAAATAGCTGTCCAGTGTGCCCTAGTTATAGAATAATTGTCTAAGGTCAATCAGTGATGTGAATTATGAAATATCATATATTACTATTACTATCAGTACAGTCTCAGATTAGAAGTGAAATTCCCGACCGTAGCTGCTACCATGACGTGATGGCCGAGCTTGCCTATCGTGATGACCCAACCGAGCTATGTTGGCTGGAACATATTTTCCTGTAGGTTCTACCATGCTAGGCAGGTCGATTAGAGAAGGGTAAGACTAAAAGCAACTGAAGGTCTGAGGGCGAAGTCGCACTGCTGACTGTACAGAGGTGTGAAAGCAGTAAGGTGTTTCCTTCAGACAACCAGCATGACAGCGATGCTGCCTTCCCAAAAGGAGGGGTGGGGTTAGAAAAGGTCGACCCTAAAAATGCACACCTCGCCTTGTCCCACGGATTTCCGTCTCCGGCGGTAAGGTCCTTTGAAGAACGGAGCTAACACGTCAAAAATCCCCCACAAAAAGGCCGTGCGTGACAGGCCTCAAGAGGTTGTTCCTTTGGCTCTGCGGTCATACTCCCAGATCGTTAAGACCAACATTAATACAACCTTTTTTCAGGTCCCTCGAGAAATACCCTTCAACTGTGTGGGCAGCCAGGAAGCGATATCAACCCTCATACCCGTAACAACACAATAGACTAAATTGGTCATATTCAAATCCTTCCTACACCTCCCAATAACTCTCTTATCTTCACGACTAACCCTTCTCACACCCCTTTATCACCTCGCACCGCTAGGGTGAACAATTCAAGTACGCGGAACGCTATTCCTGGTCTCCTGAAACCACGCTCTAAACAACACGTAGGAGCTTTTAGCGTCCAAACACTGCGCCAAATAGAACAGCCTTCTCCTTAGCTAGGTCTTTAGAATCTCGCACAATCAATGTGTGCTACGTCTCCGAAACACGCATACAGGATCCGAGTAGCGTCATTCATATGACCTCAGCATATCAAAATAAATAACCGATTCGATTCACGCTTCGTGTATCTGGAAGCACTGATGCTGCTGTCCGTGGCCTCGCTGGCATAGGTATAGCACTGAGTCCCAGAGCAGAACTAGCTTTTTTAGGCTGGATCTCAGAAGAGTCTTTTGTGCGCTATTTAACTAAACAGAACAGTAAGTACTCCAGAAGATAGGGACACTCGTCGTCTCTGCCTACTCTCCAACTGAATGCAGCTCGGATGATGTAAAAGATGAGTTTTACAGAAAGCTTTCCGACCTCCGAAAAGCTAGGCGCTCTGAAGTAATAGTGGCTGACTTTAATGCTCAGGTAGGTAAACTAAGCGAAAGGGAAAGACACATGGGTGGATCTTATAGTGTCGTACCAGGGCATTCGGTGGCGGCCAAACCAAAACGTGGCACAAATCCATGAAGTCACTCACTGACAAGTGGACTGAGCCATGTTGGTAGGTGTAGACTACCGCGAGATGATAGCAATCGATGGTTAGAGACCTTGAATGATATGGCTCAAAATCGTTTGCAAAGGCGAAGGTGCATTTACTCTTTGTGTTCTGCCAAATTCTAATCTTCTGAATTCTTCATGTCCCTTTCTTTTTTCTCTTTCCAAATTTACTTCACTAGATCATACTCCTTGAATAACATAATTTCTTCTTACTACCTCTACCACTTTGTGATTTGAATCGACAACTGCATCTCTATGCTAATGTGGTATGACAACTTGAAATGATGTATGCGCGTACGAAGTTCTACGTTGTGAGTAACTGACTGAGAAGTGAAATTAGGGCATTTTTATAGGTTTGCTTTTTGACTGGAAGCCTCAATTCGAAAAATGCGCTTTTTTATACTTCAATTAATCTGTGGAAAACGGAAACTCTGTATAGGCCTGCTTTTGAATGTTTTGACGAGATTGTTTTCTTAATATGATTAAAACATATATAAAGAACACGCAAATTTCAACCCGTATGCAAGTGTACTGAAAATGTACAAACGGACAACTACTGTGTAGAAATCAGGCTACAATAATCTTAATTATATCGCATAACGCGCAAAAATCAAGCTTTAATCCATTCAAACAAATAAGCATAAAACAACTAAAGGTAAATTATACATCATTAATACTAGCCCATAATCCAAGTACAGATTTGTGTCACTGAATTTGATTCACACTCGGTGACGGCTGGTGATACGATTCGATTTCTTTACTTACTTAGCAGTAACTGATTTCATGTTATCTAGTAGTGAGTGTTTAATGAATTCTGTTGGCCAGGTTCCAATGTTGATAATCGTCAAAATTAATCGATTTCACAATACATTTTACTTTAATATTGGAGGCAACTTGAAAGAAGCACTGGATTTAGTTTCTAAGACAATTAACGCCCTCAAGTAAGGCGCATCTTCAGTCTTAGGGGGACTGACGTGTTTTTTGTGATTAACTCAGTGTTCTAGACTGTGACATGAGAATAAGTTACTTTAAGACTGATGTCCCTCGTTCAAGCGTCAGACAGCATTACTCCTGGGTCCAGTAATTCCTGCAGATTACCTCCAGTCACTAAACACTATACACAACTTGAGAAGTCCCGTATGTACAAAAATGCAGATATGGTGGTTGCAAGTAGTTACATCAGCTGTGAAGTCTGAATGAATATCGTTCAGTGCCCTATTCATACAACCCAACAAAGTATTGGATGACCATTTTAAGAAGCGGATTACGTGAGCAAAGTAGTCAACTGAATGTGATTAAAGTAGCATTATAGCTTTTCAGTGACCTAAGTGACTTAAAAACTTACGCACTACGAAGTCAATCCATTTTGCTACTTTGGAATTCTTAATAAATGACAAGTACGAATAAATATGGGATGAGTTGGAACATTTGGACCGATTTGTAAAGGCAATAAAAATTAATGACACAATATTTTACTTATCTAGTGTTTAGTACATTATAACTAATCTTATACACAAAGGTTTGTTCAATATAATCTATTCATACGAAACAAATCAAAAGCCAAACTCTATGCAAATACAATCAATTAGAAAAGGAAAAACAACAATAAGCGTCATCACTCCTTCAACAATCAGATAATATTAATTATTGGTATGGGAAAAAAACTCATAAAGACCAAGCAGAACTTTTATTTTATTAAAAATTGTAAACATGTACACTTATGAAGTAATAAGATTGAAGAAATTCATAGTTAAAATGAATGGATTAATTTTATCTCAAAATCCTTCTATTTCTTCGCAAAAGTAATACGTATTGCTTGACCGGGTCGAATATTAAAACCTTGAAGACCAAGTTTTGCAGCTGATGCCTCTACTTCATTACCAAATTCAACAAAAGCAATATCATGTCTTCCTGGAACCATACGAACTTCTCGATACCCAGTGAATTGTCCAAAAAGCATACTTAACATTGCTTCATCAGAATCATCCGGTAAGTTAGTTAAGAATAAAATCTTATTAGGTGGTTGATCTGGAATAGTTGCTGGATTCACAGTCGGTGGTGGTGGAGGAGGACAATAACTACTAGTTTGATTGACACCATTAGAACTTTTTTCGTTGGTGGTATCATTGTTAGCTGAGGCCGAAGCTGCGGCGGCAGCGGCAGCAGCGGCTGCTGCAGCTCTTTGTTGTCTTCTACGGATAGCTCTAGCACTAGTGCCTCCTTGTGGACCAGCTGAATTTATTGCAGCAGCAGAAGCTGCGGCTTCGGCGGCAGCCGCAGCGGCGGCGGCCGCTGCTGCTCTTGATGCAGCTTTCGGTCTTTGTACAAATGTGCCTTTACGTTTAGCAATGACATCTGAATCAACTTTGGCAAAATGTATTCGCATGGGTTTTTCATACAATGGAAAGCCTTGCATTGACCGAAGTGCTGTGGATGCACTACTGATATCATCAAAGACAACAAAGGCTTGACCGCGCATTTTAAGTGTTCGTGCTACGAAAGGAACAATAAAATTATGACAACTTAGAATTAGTCTGAACAGTAGTAAAGATTAGCGAAAATGTAAGTCACGATAATATGCTTCATAGATGCCATACAATACTTCCATAATTCCACAACAAGTGTACACAAAACGACATAAAGTATAAGTATTCACAGAAACATTCAGAATAGAGGCTTGAATAGTAACATGCAAAATTAAGCTCCCACCATGCTAGAAATACTTTGCGATTAGAACGAATATGATGCTATTTTTAGAAAATCAAAAGGTTTTGTTGAGTATTTAAAAGATAAAGAATAAAATGATTTGTTACGATTGTTAATAATGGGCTATTGTTAAGTGATATTATGACTGGACACACCACCAGTGTTGTTGGTCGAACCGAGACTATGTAAGATAAAATGCAAATCGTATTTTCAATGTCCGGATGAGAAATACGTACTGGTTTAAAATATCATTTTATTTAAGCATCACTTTGGAAGTGAACTCCACATTTTCTAGTTACAACGTAAGAAGCTGTCGACTGCCCGTGAATGGTGACCGACTCTTAAATTAGTACACGTCCTTGAATACACATCAGAGGTGCCTCTTAACTCATATAATATGAGTTTCTATGAAGACAACGAACCACATAGTCTGTCCACGGAGAAAGATCTAGTATACCTCTGAGGACACAGGCTGTTATGCCCCGATTAAGATAATGAATTGTAACTTTGGGATCTATTTAGGAACAAATATTATGTATATATTTTTTATCGTATAATCGCTAAATAACTAAACTATTCATATTCGTGTCCCCCTTATTCTAAGCTTTATTGTGAACTATAAACTATTGTTATATAATTTATCATTCCTGAATTATGCCCTGTCTATTATTTACTATCTCCCCTATTCACAGTCACATTTGGCTGAATCTTGTACACATGTTATTTTCTATTTTATGGTACGATGTGGTCAGTTTGATTGGTATATAAACTCAGTATGTTTGAAATACAATGATTCATACCACAGAGGCTGTCCTGGACTTAACTGGCTGGGCTAGGCAGAAGAAAGGACCGATACGTACTGTAGACTGCTCATAGGGTTAC